ACAGTGTACCTGTAATAATAATAATAATAACAATATTATTAATAATAATAATAATGCTTTTTTCACAAGTTACCTTCTCATGATGAACATTTCATTTTTGATTGCAGCCCGTTTTCACCACCTAACAAAAAACTATGCAATGTGTTGTCGAGAATCTAGAAATGATCAATCGCACCACTCCATCTGTACATGTCCATGCAAAGCATCTCGCGTCTTGTCATTTTCAGCATACGCCGCTCATTATATACAGTCGTGTTCTGTTGCGATGTTTAAAAGCCTTCCTTGAGTCTCGTTTGTGTTGTGTACAGTTATGTTTGATGTGACTTAAACCTGTTGTATTGTTTTGTATCTGGGCATTGCAATGTTTATATATATATTATATATATTTTTTTCCTGTTGAAAATGATTGCTGCTTCAATGTAACTTCTTTTTTCCTTTAAATAATGAATCAATCAACCCCCATATGAAATGAAAAGCTGACATCTGTTTTAATGTTTAGCAAAATGCTGATGTAAGAAGGCTGTTGGCTCACGATCGTTTTTTTTTTCTCCCCTCCCATGTTCTAGTAATGCTATCATTCCTCCTTTTGTCCGGTGCCATCTTCACGATTACATTTTCATTCACACCTGGGTGTTTTTCGGAGGCATTAACTCACGATTTGGTCTTTGCAACTAGCTTGCTAATCAACAAAACATTTGCTTTTCATAGACGTTCATTCAGAAACTCTGATTTTCTGGTTCAAAGGCGAGTAGAAATGTTCATCGGGCGTGTTAGCGCAGTCTCAAAAGCTAAAAAGAGGAAACAAATGCTTCCATAAGGACTGCTTTTGATACCCAAAGTGTGAGGAAACTGTAAAGATGTGTATTTTTTAAGAATGTACAATGTGAAATTTTTCTCATATGCTTGTTTTGTATAAAGTATTATGTATTATGGCAAGGTAATAACTTTTTGAATCAAAAAGCAATACAATACCAGTTTAAAACAAACAGAGAAACACGTCTCGTTGCATTTTTTCACAATGCTCAGCTAGTGCTTTTCAACAAATGCTGGAAGATTAATGTGGCTATTTTCAATTTCACGAGGTTGCTTTTACATTATTGATGTTGTAATGTCATTACAATACATTTAGTTAAATAGATTTAAGCATTCATTTAGCTGTTAAGTGTAAAACCATAGATGTTTACATTAGATGTCGCCTATGCTATTGTTGTCTATTGGAAGGAATGAGTCAATGGAGCCGCCATTTTGGTACAGGGTAGCGCTTCTTTGAAAATAATGTGAGAGTAAGGTGCAGTGGAGGACTGTGGCCATCTAGAGCCAGAGATATATACACATATATCTATGATCAGGAGTTTTCCCGATGGTCAGTTTGCAAATATGTTTCTTAATCACTTTTCTACATCGGTGAATAAGTGACCGCACGTAGAGCTAATGTTTACGTGCATTCCCTCTCTGTTAAATTTGGTCTAATTTGTGTCCTGAAACACCCCCCTCTCCTGCTTTCACTTCTCATTGTAACGGAGGGAGCGATTAATTTATAAATGCATCTCCATTATGAACGACTCGGGTGAAGCATCGATATCCCTGCGTCTCAATGTGTACATCCACCTTTATGTTCTATATCAGGGGTGGCCAACCCTGTTCCTGGAGAGCCACCTTCCTGCAGATCTCAGTTGCTACCCATATCAAACACACCTGCCTGTAATTATCACGTAGTGTTCAGGTCCTAATTAATTGATTCAGGTGTGTTTGATATGGGTAGCAACTGAAATCTGCAGGAATGGGGCTCTCCAGTAACAGGGTTGGCCACCCCTGTTCTATATGGTATATAACAGAGGTCGCCAATCTTATTCCTGGAGGTCTGGTGCCCTGCAGGGTTTAGCTCCAACTTGCCTCAACACACCTGCCTGAGTGTTTCAAGTATACCTAGTAAGACCTTGATTAGCTCACTCAGGTGTGTTTGATTAGGATTGGAGCTAAAATCTGCAGGACACCAGACCTCCGGGAACAAGTTTGGTGACCCCTGGTATACAACATTTGTAATATTCTATCATTTTTGGTGGACGGTATGAACACTGAGGCGCAGGCACTGTTATGGTATCAGGCACCCTTATAAGTTACTTCAAGAACTAGCCATTACTTCTCTTAGCTCACAATAATACCAGTTTTTAGCACCGCAGCATCTTGTCGTATTTAGTTAGCATTGTTTGCTTATTTTATTCAACAAAACTAGCGTAAGCCTAGAATTTAGAGCGAGTTGGTGCTGTTTTGCCTTATATTCAGTGCGGTAAGAGACTGTATTATCATCATTAACGTTACTTGTTGTGCACAAAAGTTTGTAACATACAAAATCATCAAAAACGAAATCTCACCCATGAAATGTTCTGCTTTTGTACTCTGTTTGCTCGTCACTACACCTGTACGCAGCGCAAAAGCTCATCCTCTTCACATTGGCTATTGATTAAGTGCGGTTGAATGATTTTTGTCCTGGCAGCACTGTACAAATATGGAGAAGGTATTGATGCATGTTAATGGCCTGTATGCCATATCTAGTGTATATATATCTATGGTGTAAAAAAAAAAAGATGAAAGTACCAGCAATGCCAGCAGGCTAGTGCCGAAACTCAGTTGAAAATACTGAGGAAAAATATATTGTATATCTGTCAGGCAGTGATAGGGTGGAAAGTACACACATTGAGTCGCAGGCACTGTGTTTTCAGGCACCCTTATAAGTTACTTCAAAACCTAGCCGTTACTTCACTTAGCTGACAATAATACTAATATTTCTGGCATCGGTGTCTTGTTGTCATATTTAATTTGCATTGTTTGCTTATTTTATTCAACAAAACTAGCATACGCCTATATAGAATTGAATGCGAGTTGGTGCTGTTTTGCCTTATGGTCAGTGCAGTAAGAGACTGTATTATCATCATTAACGTTACTTGTTGAGCACAAAAGTTTGTAAATCATCTAAAACTAAATCTCACCCATGAAATGTTCTGCCTTTGTGCTCTGTTTGCTCGTTACTACACCTGTACGCAGCGCAAAAGCCCATCATCTTCACATTGGCTTTTGATTAAGTGCGGTTGAATGATTTTTCAGCACTGTACAAATATGGCGGCGGTATTGATGCATGTTGATGGACCGTATGCCATATCTAGTGTATATATATCTATGGTGTAAAAAAAAGATGAAAGTACCAGCAATACCAACAGGCTAGTGCCGAAACTCAGTTGAAAATACTGAGGAAATATATCGTACATCTGTCAGGCAGTGAAAGGGTGGAAAGTACACACATTGAGTCGCAGGCACTGTGTTTTCAGGCACCCTTATAAGTTACTTCAAAACCTAGCCGTTACTTCACTTAGCTGACAATAATACTAATATTTCTGGCATCAGTGTCTTGTTGTCATATTTAATTTGCATTGTTTGCTTATTTTATTCAACAAAACTAGCATACGCCTATATAGAATTGAATGCGAGTTGGTGCTGTTTTGCCTTATGGTCAGTGCAGTAAGAGACTGTATTATCATCATTAACGTTACTTGTTGAGCACAAAAGTTTGTAAATCATCAAAAACTAAATCTCACCTATGAAATGTTCTGCCTTTGTGCTCTGTTTCCTCGTTACTACACCTGTACGCAGCGCAAAAGCCCATCATCTTCACATTGGCTATTGATTAAGTGCGGTTGAATGATTTTTGAGCACTGTACAAATATGGCGGCGGTATTGATGCATGTTCATGGACTGTATGCCATATCTAGTGTATATATATCTATGGTGTAAAAAAAAGATGAAAGTACCAGCAATACCAACAGGCTAGTGCCGAAACTCAGTTGAAAATACTGAGGAAATATATCGTACATCTGTCAGGCAGTGATAGGGTGGAAAGTACACACATTGAGTCGCAGGCACTGTGTTTTCAGGCACCCTTATAAGTTACTTCAAAACCTAGCCGTTACTTCACTTAGCTGACAATAATGCTAATATTTCTGGCATCGGTGTCTTGTTGTCATAATTAATTTGCATAGTTTGCTTATGTTATTAAACAAAACTAGCATAAGCCTAGAAGTGAGTGCGAGTTGGTGCTGTTTTGCCTTATGGTCAGTGCAGTAAGAGACTGTATTATCATCATTAACGTTACCTGTTTAGCACAAAGGTTTGTAACATATAAAATCATCAAAAACGAAATCTCACCTATGAAATGTTCTGCCTTTGTGCTTTGTTTGCTTGTTACTACACATGTACGCAGCGCAAAAGTCTGACTAAGTGCAGTTGAATTACTTTTGAGCACTGTACAAATATGGCGGCGGTGTTGCTGCATGTTCATGGTCCATGTGCCATATATATATATATATATATATATATATATATATAGAGAGAGAGAGAGAGAGAGAGAGAGAGAGAGAGAGAGAGAGAGAGAAGGAGAGAGAGAGAGAGAGAGAGACACATGGCGGCGGAAATTTAATTTAATGCAATGGGTGGAAAGTACATTGAGTCGCAGGAACTGTTATCAGGCACCATTATAAGTTACTTAAAAAGCTAGCCGTTTCTTCACTTAGCCGACAATAATAAACATTTCCGGCCTCAGCGTCTTATCATATTGAATTTACATAGTTTGCTTATTTTGTTACACAAAAATAGCATAAGCCTAGTATTTAGTGCGAGTTGGTGCTGTTTTGCCTTATGATCAGTGCAGTAAGAGACTGTATTATCATCACTAACCGTTGAGCACAAAAGTTTGTAACATACAAAACTATTTGCATACTGACCACCGTGGGAAAACTCGGTGATATAAATCTGTATATATCTCTGGTACTAGATGACCAGTCCTCCACTGCACCTTGGTCACACATTCATTCAAATGAGCACTACCCTGTACTAAAATGGCGGCTGCCAGCAGGCTAGCATAGAAACTTAATTGAAACTAAGAAGGTGAAATAGTCATATTTTAAAAGACATGGGGGTTTCAAAAAGAAACGATTCAATACAAACACATTAATATCAAGAATTCATTTCAAGACTTTATTCATACGCAGAAGTTTCAGATCATAATTTAACAAGCAGCTCAGTTATCTGGTTTAAATGTTGTATTTTCAAGTCCTCTTTTCTACAAGAATGAATATTTAAATTAGTCACGTTGCAAACACCAAATATACATTTTAAAATCATCAAATAAATGTATAAAATGAACAACATACAGCAACTATTTTCTGAATTTCCAGCAGGTCGTTCAGGATCATAGTGCAGAGCTCCATCTGCTCTTCTCTTTCGGAGATCCGCCCATCAAGATCCTCCAGATGACTCACAGAAGGACTCTGTTAAAAGTTACATTTATTATTGCATTTAATAAACTATTTTAATAGTCAAGACAAAAAAAATACGGTTTACTTGAGTTGAAGACTCCGTTGTACCACCAGTGTTTTCTGAGTGCGAACATTTATGAGAAATATTAACGTTATTCATTAACCACACACACAAATACACAAATCTTACCTCCAGCTGACGCCATTTTAGTTTTACTTGTAAAGAAGAACGGTCTAAAATATATCGGTTATCATTAGTCCTAATTGCGTGATTAATAGGTGTTAACATGATACACCTGGATGATTCACTCTTAATTTTGTTGATCCTGCGAGACTAAAATATCTCCGTGAATTTTAGTTTATTTGTTTAAGCTGCAGTTTTGAAGGAGCTTTTATTTTGAAGTGCTGTCAACATGCTTTGATAGCGAGAGCGCGTCGAGAGAAGACGACGGGTAGACAGCATAGACAACGCTTTCAGCCTTGCGATAAAAAATAAAGTCTCGGATAACAAGTTAAGTTTTAATACTAAAAATTCAAACAATTAATCTCATTTAAGCGCATTTAATATGGGAAATAGCTTCGGTTAAAGCGAGTCAAACCTGTTTGATCTCGCCGGCGTCACAGCCCATACGGTCACGTGATCCTCGAAGCGCTACATATTAAATCTTGTTTTTTTTTATTTTATTTTTTTTATTATTGTAAGTATTTGAATATTACACATAACATGAAGATAAATTTACACACAAAAATTATCCATTGAGCTTTACAACGTTAAATACAGCATGCTTTGGTTATTGCGTCAATTTAGTGGCAGAGGCGACATTAATGTGGTTTTCTTATATTTAAGCATAGAGGTAAAGTTGGTTTTATATTCGCACATTCGTTTATTTAGCAGTCTCTATATTGTTTATCATGTTTCTTAGAATAGTCGATCGGATTAGCATGCAAGTATGACTTTAAAGCAACATTAACACTATCTAATTCACTGTGAACACTGTTGTACTTTAATAGTCATTTCCCGCTAATATGATTTCCCTATTTACAATTTGCACAGAAGACTTTTCTAAAATGATATTATTAAGGAGAATGTCTGAATATCCAAATATAAAACCAATTTTATATTATTATACAATTTTAATATTTACCTCTATTATTTAAGCCTCGGGTTTTGCTTGCTTACACTGTGATCATGCAGCTTTTTCAACTAATTTACAATTAAATTACTATATACTTTAGTTGCATTTAATATTGTTAGAGGATCTTTTTGGTGCTAAATATTTGTCATGCAATAATTCTAGTTTATTAATATTCTTTCAAATATTTACATTGCTTATTAAAATGTGTGTAGTATTTAAGGTTAAAACAGAAAAAATACAATTTTTGTATTTTAGAAAAGCAGCATTTATTTGATGGAAAATACAGTAACAATTGCTGAAATATTATTAAAATTGTACACAATTGTTTTCTTATTGGATGCAGTTTCAAATGTAATTTATTCCTGTGATTTAAAGCTGAATTGTCCTCATCATTACATCAGTGTCAAATGATCCTTCGGTAATCTTTATAATATGATGATTTGCTGTTCTATTATGATCAGTTATAATTAGTGCAACATCATTAACTATTTCCTACAACTATCTGCTGAATTTTTGTCTTCCAGCATAGTATCATGGAAACTGTGATACATTTGCTTTTAGAATTATTTGATCATTCATTCATTCATTTTCTTTTCTGCTTAGTCCCTTAATAATCTGATAGAGGAAAAGTTGGTTTTATATTGGGATATTCAGATATTCTCTTTAATAATATAATTTCAAAAAAGTATTTGCAAATTCTAAATTGGGAAATCATATTAGCAGCAAATGACGATCAAAGTACAACAGTGTTCACAGTGAATTAGATAGTGTTAATGTTGTTTAGAAGTCATACCTGCATGCTAATTCCGATCGAATATTCAAAGTAGCATGATAAACAAACAATATAGAGACTGCTAAATGAACAAATGTGCGAATATAAAACCAACTTTACCCCTATATTAATCTGGGGTCGCCACAGCAGAATAAAACCGCCTATTTGATAATAAGCCAGTTCAAAATAATAGCTTTTATTTGCAATCTTTTTCACATTATAAATGTATTGCAATGTGTTTTAAATGTTCCTTATTTCTAATGGAAAAAAAGACAGCAAATCACATTTTAAATTAGTTAAAATTGTAAAAAGTATTTCACAATTTAATTATTTTTGCTGCAGATTTTTCATCAAATGAATGCAGTCTTGGTGAGCAGAATTGGCTTTACTGTTTCCAAACTTTCAAGTGTGTATGTAAAATCTCACATCCTTTTTTTAATGAAAGACCACACAATGAATGCAAGCAAATACTGAATTTAAGATTAAAGTTTAAAAATTGTGCTCAAATGTACATATTAAGTAACATGTACAATATATATCCACAGAGACGAATTAACCAATTGGCATTATGGGCACAGGGGACCGTGCACACTTGGAGTCCCTACGCAGATTTATAGATATTAGGCAAGGCAAGTTTATTTATATAGCACATTTCATACACAGTGGCAATTCAAAGTGTTTTACATAAACAAGAATAAAAAAGACAAGTTTAAGAACATAAAAAACAGACAATAAAAATGATTAAAAACAGATTAAAATGAGTTAAAACAGGCTATAAAAGAATGAAAAAGAAAAACATACTAATGCAATCTGTCCGACCTATAGTGCAATATTATTTTTATAGATTTTATCCATGTGAATTGAATCTGAACTGAAAGTTTCTTCCTCCATACAGCATAGTCAGAAGAGGAAAACAATCAAGGGGACTCTGGAATATATGAAATCAAGATATAATATGCGCATTTTCACAAATGCTGCTTCTTAAAGAAGACACGTATGTTCAGCATTTATCATTTTTACAAAGTAAAAATGGATATCAGGCCATCTTTCAGATTGTAAATTGTGTCAGTAAGGTTTATTGGTGAAGATAGATGGCAGTAGTGCATCTAGAACTCTGCGTAAAACAAGAAGTAGATTTAGAAGAAGAAGAGGAGGAGCTGTCAGATAGGAGCGTTCGATTCCTGTTTTTAAGGAGTCGACTCTGATTCACTACTGTTACCGTTGGAAGTGATTCTTCCACATTATTTGCACCAAAACACAGGATCTGGAAAATAGGTGATGTCTCTAAACATATACTGTAATATGATAAAACAGTGTTAAAGATGAAAAATAACATAAAAAGACATAATAACAAACATAACCTATCTACATGTATTGATGTTCATATGAACATATCTAGTCTAATGAAAAATAAAGCGCTAATACATTTACATTAATATCAACCTTTATAGTTTTACTTGCAGGTAAAAAGTTATGTATGATAAAAAAGTCTAAAATATGCATCCTGAAAGAGAAAAGTGTGAGACATAGGGAAAGAGTCGATTCCTGTACCGGAATCGACTCTGATTCTAGAACTATTAGAATCGACTCTTTGGAATCGACTCCCATTTCTGCCAAACGTGGCTTCCGGCAGCTGTCTGAAAGCATGTTGTGTACCGCTCTTGAGCCGAGCTGTTTATGTTTTTCAGGTGTTTTCGTGCTGCCAGCCTTCGTTTAGGAGTTTGTTCGAGCACCAGATACAAGTCGTTTAAACGCGATATAATGTGTAAAGAGCTGAAGACGAGAGTCCTGCGGATTTCATCTAATTTCTCTGATGACCTGACGTTACATCAGCCGGGTAAGACACATCCAGTGATGCTTGTTAAATAAGACTTACAACATGAAGATAAAGTTTTACATATAAGACTTTCCCCTGGCTTTTTTTTCGAAAACTTAACGACGTCTTAAGAAATCTACTGAAAAACCATGTCACGTAAATACGCGCCAGACCAGTATGTGGCGCTGTGTGCTCATTAAAAAAGATGCGTTAGAAAAATGTCGATATTAATGTGTTTTATTAACGTTTTTAATGTAACTATAGAAATTACGAGAAGTACAGTACGTTGCAAAAGATGAAAATTGAATTGTATTGAGGTAAAGGTGGTTTATATTCGCACATTTGTTCATTTTTGAACAGTGAACACCCGTTACACCGTATTGTTTACCATGGTACTTTGAGCATTTGGTCAGAAATCACATTGAGGTAAAGTTGCTTTTATTATTATTCATTATTTTTCTGACTTTATCCTAAATAATATAATTTAAAAAAATAATTATTTGCAAATTTAAAATAGGGGAATCATATTAGCAGCCGATGACTAAAAAAAAAGTACACTGTAAATTAACGTTAAGTCAATTAAATAGTGGTAATGTTGTTTTGCGAATTTCAGAGCCAATAGTCAAATTAGCAAGATAAACAATATTGAAAATGTTAAAAGTAATGAATGTTCAAATATTAAACCAACTTTGCCTCAATAGAAATCAACTGTAAATTTGACTTTAATAGACATACAACGTTAGGAGTAAAGTTGGTTTTACATTCGCACATTCGTTCATTGAGCAGTCTCTATATTGTTTGTTTATCATGTTATTTTGAATATTCTAACGGAATTAGCATGCAAGTATGACTTCTAAACAACATTAACTCTATGTATTACACTATGTTGTAGTTTGATAGTCATTTGCTGCTAATATGATTTTTCTATTTAGAATTCGCACAGAAGACTTTTCTGAAATTATATTTTTAAGGAGAATGTCTGAATACCCCTATATAAAACCAACTTTACCAATATAATAGATGTTGGCTGCCATAGAGGTAAAGTTGGTTTTTAATTCGGATATTTTAACTGAAATTAAACACACATTGCCTAAAATGCGCTTTGCAACAGGGTTGTTTGTTTGAATATTTTATTATATATTATGGTTTCCGCTACATGCATTCTTTCATGGCGAGGCGCCACACCAAAATGCATCCCTCCACAGCTACATTACAGCTTCCCATTCAAAACATTCAGTCATTGTTGTTGTTGCTGTTATTAGCGGATTATAATCGCACCAAAACTTATTAAAAGGTAAGTGAATTATAACAACGCAAACTTTTCTGTAACTGCAGTAGTGATGTGCGCTATTTGTTAAACCCCTTGAGGTTGACTGACTGACTGGTGCGTGATGCTTGAGGCCCGCACAGTTTCCATAATTATACTTTATTTATATATAAAGGTCTATGGCTCTGCATATAATCACTCTTTTATTGCCGTTTCACTTTACTTCAGGACGCATTAATGCCGCTCTGTAGGTCTATTGGAGACATTCATAAATATTCCTAGCAAATCTAATAAATGTTGGAGACATGCTTGTTACATAAACGCACTAAAATCGCACTTCATCAGCGTTTATTTGAGAGCGCACAAGAAGATCTGCGCTTGAGCAGCGAATATTTGAGGGGTGTGCAAGAGGTTTTATGCACAAGCAGAGGAAATCGGCGTGCAAGCAAAAAGTATTGCACGTAAATACGATCTCGACTTGTAATATTGCGCTAACCACATTTCTCCATTTGTCATTGAAATAACGGCATAGGTAATTAAAGTAATCAACCTGGAAAAATTAGATTGATTATTGTTTCTGAATGTCGATTTCGATTAATTGCCCAGCCCTAGTTGGGAAGATCAAGTCTTTTTTTATGCAGTGCATTTGCATAAATTATAAGAAATTACAAGCATATATAAATACGACAGAGCAAAGATAAAAGTGAAATAAACCTTCTCAAACGATCCGGGAAACGGGCCTGGGCACGGTACGGATGGCATAGTGTGAGTAGGCCCTTACTTTATGATTTTCTGAAGAGTCTGACAGTATCCAGGAACAGAAATCGAAAAAAGCTTAACATGATAATCATTGTCTAGATTATTTAATAACATCTTGTATATATTTATTAATCTTTTAATCTTTAATAGACAATCTAATTCTACGATTTGACTTCTGCGAATTCACATTGTAATATCGATGCGCAAATGATATATTGTGCAGCCCTATTAATAAGTAACTAATTTGCCACATTTCAGCCTCAAGGCGTGAAAAGGCCCGTAGTTTCACAGCTGTGCTTGCTGTGTTCACAGAGTGGACGGAGATCCTGAGCTGTACAGTGAATGCTCTGAAGGCGGGTCAGGTGGTGGCAGTGCCCACCGACACCATCTACGGCCTGGCCTGTGTGGCGCAAAACTCTGAGGCCATTAGAAGAGTCTACGACATCAAGGGCAGGAATGGAGACAAACCCCTGGCCATCTGTGTCGGAGAAATCCACGACATATACAAGTGTGTGTTCATTCACAGCTTTTTCATTGACTCTTACTAAAGTGTCTGTTCGGTAGTCTGTAACATTAAAAAAGTGCACTCTAGTCTGTTGAATCATTAGAAATAATGATGATGTATAAATTTTGCAAGATGCTAGTATTCAGCTTAAAGTGTGATTTAAAGGTTAATTAGGTTAACTGGGCAAGTCATTGGATGACAGTGGTTTATTCTGTAGCCAGTCGGGGAAAAAATAACTTCTTAAAGAGAGAGTTCACTCCAAAATGAACATTTACTATTTATTTACTCAACCTCAAGAGGTTCCAAACCTTTATGAGTTTCTTTCTACTGTTGAACACACAAGAAGATATTTTGAAGAATGCTGAAAACCTGTAACCATCGACTTCCATAGTAGGAAAAACAAATACTATGGAAGTCAATAGTTACAGGTTTCCAGCTTTCTTTAAAATATCTTTGTGTTCAAGAGGACAAAACTCCCAACTGGTGAAGTTTTTGGGTGAACTATCTCTTTAAGGGAGATGATATTGTTTTATTAATATGATAATATTACATTATTTATTTAAAAAAAAAATACATTTTGGTCACTTAAATATATTTAAAAAAATATTCCAGCAAATACTGTAATAAAAAAGTATTCTATTGCTATTTTTACCCTTATTTGGGAAGTATCTGAAAAATAATCACGAGTAGGATAATAAGTTTGTCTTTAACTGTATGTAAGTTTCTTTATTTTTATAATGCTGTGACATTAAGGGTGCGTTCTGAATGTTTTCAGGTACTGTAAAGTGTCTGTGAAGGACAGGCTGCTCAGAGATCTGCTTCCCGGACCTGTTACACTCGTTCTAGAAAGATCCGCCACGCTAAACGGAGATCTCAATCCTTTTACCAAGGTTAGTTTCAATCATTGTCTGTTTATTTAAATGACGAGCAATTATGGTAAACTTGAAAACTGTCTATTAAAATGTGCATGTCATAGTTAAAAAAATATCGATTGATGATAGTTTTGTACATTTTCGCATTTTAAATTTGTCATCAACACCTGAAGTCATTTAGTATGTGGGTCAGCACATTGAAAATAAGTCTGCTTTAAAACTATGGCTGCACGATCCTGGGAGAAATCTGTGATAATGATAATTCTTATGATACAGTGGATACGGAAAGTATTCAGACCCACTTTAATCTTTCCCTCGTTGTTTTATTACAGCCTTTTGCTAAAGCCATTTAAGTTCATTTGTTTCCCTTGTTAATGTACACACAGCAACCCATATTGACAGGAAAAACAGAATTGTTGACATTTTTACAGATTTATTAAAAATAAAAAACTTAAATGTCACATAGTCCTAAATATTTAGACTCTTTGCTCAGTATTTAGTAGAAGCCCCCTTTTAACCTAATGCAGCCATCAGTCTTTTTGGGAAAGATGCAACACATTTTTCATACAAAAACAACAACTTAAAAACATTTTTAGCTATTTTATCAGCTATAAGAAAACATTTGTGATTTGTAAAAGTCATTCATTTAGATTTGTCTACATTTAGATCCTGATGCCGAGCAACAATATTAAAAGCAGACTGTAAAAATTTGAAGAGCAACAATAAATCACTCGATCATCGGCGTACAGATGATAAGAGGCATTTGGAAGGTTGTTACACAAGTTATCAATGTAAATGGAAAATATTTCTAATACTGATCTCTGCGGCACTCCTTTGGGCACCTCTAAAGATAAAGAAGTCAGGCCGGCCATATGGACGCACTGAGTTCTGTTGGACATAATTAGCAAACCAAGTGGTAGCTTGGTTTGACATACCAATCTATGTTAAGTAGTTCATTAAAAGTGTGATCAACCATATCAAATGCCTTTTGAAGATCAAGAAAAAGAGCAGTGCAATAATTCTAAAAATGGCTAATTTGATAGTAAGTTATGTGTGTCAAGTAACGGGTTAAGTTGATTGCTGATTAGTTTTTCAAAAATATTTGCAAAGATGCATAATTTGGAAATTGGATAAAAATACTATAATTAAAATTAGAGACCAAGTAGTATTTTATTGCATCAAAGTAACTGTTCAGTATGAGGTGATCTAATGCTTTTTTTATTGTGCTCATGGTAATTGTCCTCAGTTGCTGTTTGTTAGCATGTATCATTTATTAATGTGTGTGTTGTAGCTCATAGGGGTCCGTATTCCAGACCACCCGTTCATGAGGCGTCTCTGTCAGATGTGCGACACACCGCTAGCTCTCACCAGCGCTAACGTCAGCACTCAATCCAGCACTGTCGCCGCTAACGTGAGTAACACACACCATACCGCACAATAGCCATGTTTGCATCCAGCTATTTTTATGTGTATTCTGTTTGACGTGGTCATTTGTTTTCTGCAGGAGTTTGAGGATTTGTGGCCCCGTCTGGCCGTTGTTGTGGACGGGGGCCCGATTGAAGATAAGAGCCGCTTGGGATCAACAGTTGTGGATCTGTCTGTGTGTGGCAGATACCGAATCATCAGACCGGGATGGTGAGTAACTGCTCATGGATTAGTTTATTTCCAGAAGTTTAGGGAAATATTGCAGGACTTTTCTCCATTTCAGTGGTGCTTTCCAACTTTTATAAATGCAGTTTAAAGGGACAGTTCACCCAAAACAAAAACAGTTGAACACAAAGGAAGATAGTTTGAAGAAAGCTGAAAACCTGTAACTATAGTACAGCGCTCCCTCACTATAACGCGGTTCACTTTTCGCCTCGCAGTTTAGCGGATTTTTTTCTGTGCAATTTCAGATGCTCATTTCTACAACGCCCACTGTGTTCTGCATCATGATTAGCATATTGAATTCTGAGTCCTGATTGGCTGAAGGTTGTTGTCAATCAAAGTCCTCCGTGATTCCTGGGGTCCGTTCTTCGTACGTGGATTACTCAGTTAGCTGGATTTGGATATTGACGATTTGACACGATCCAGGATCGTTTCGTTCTTCAAAGCTGATCCGAGAGTTGTTGTCATAGCAACAGTTCTGTTAGCTCAAACCTGATCGGGAGCAGGTTCAATTCATATAAACAGGATTAGATCGGGTCAGTTCAAGCAAAGATATACAGAAAGTGTTCCGAATTCTGATATTTTCTTACAGTAGTAGTTATATACACTTGGGAAAAGAGTAAATATTTTTTAAACTATATATATATATATATATATATATATATATATATATATATATATATATATATATATATATACACACAAGTTATAGTTATTAATAAAATAAATAAAGTTATACATATTAATAAAACGAATGCAATCTGCACCCTCGAAATGAAAGTACAAAGACTGCCACCTGGTGGTGCAAAGAGAAAACTTATTGATATGAACTTTTTAGATCGCTTAGTACAAATTGTGTATTATAGAAATGCAGAATATGTGACTTTTTTTAAAGCAATAATACATTTATGCAGTCATGAACATGTTTTGATAGTTAATATGCCAGTGATTTGATGCTTCACAATAGTTGCAGACGCCTTTACCAATATGAAAATGCTTTTGTAAACATCCAGTTATTCTTTACACCGATTAAAAAAAACGGCTACAATAATAAAGAAAATCTTTTCTAAATGTAGAACTAAATACATTGATTCGCATTTGAAATACATGATGAATACTCTTGACACATGAAAGTGTAAAGCCTGCAGCTCACAACAAATGTGGAAGGTTATTGCGTGTCATATTTAACAAACAGTTTACTGCTAATTTGATGTAATTTTGCTCACATGGATAATTGAATATTAATCAGATGATGTCATTACGCTGCTGTGCCGTCAGCCAATCGTTGCATTGCTGATCATGATTTCGAGGATTGATAGATCTGTCCTTCAATACACACGCAGCGATCTCAGATCAGTTTATCCAGACATTCTAATCTGATTCGCGAACTTGTTTGAAGAACCAAATTAGCGAGAGATCAGTTATCAAGATTAAAAGATCCTTGATCTGCCAAATCATCTTAGATCATTTAAGCGAGGTACGAAGAACGGACCCCTGTACAGTACAGAATGTGTCCAGCTTGCCAAACTTGCATAATCTTCAATCGCTAGCAGTGTGACTGAGTGCTGAACTGTATGTTTAAGTTAAATATCATGCGGCCCTACTTATAATCTAGCTGTTGGTCAGCCATCTTGGTTAATCTATTGTGTTTCTCTCTCCTGCAGCGCTCTCTCTGCTACAGTTCAAATACTTGAAGGCAGATATGGACTGCTGGAGGATCCTGACCATCGCTGAGCTCAACACACACACGCTGCACCAAAGAGACACTCGTATAGAGTGTGTGTGTGAGAGAGATTCTCAGTAGTGGGAAATTGGGAGTTTGACAGTTTCTGAATATTTTCCACACATTTTTTTTCCTTTGAGAGGACATGTTGGGTTTGCTGGTTCTGATGTGATCAGTCTTTTGGATACACATTTGTATTCTCAACCGTATAAGACGCACATTTCCAATCAGTTACAGGTTTTGTTGTCGTTTACGGTGAGATATTTCTCAATGAGCGTGACCTCACACCATGCAGATGCCTTTGAGAGTTACACTGCATATTACAGGGAAAGTTGACTCAGGATTTTTTACTCGTCCCCCATTTATTCTAAACCTGCAGTTTCTACTGTTAAACACAAAGGAATTCTGGGAGAAAAGATCAGCTTTTGACTTCCATAGTATTTTTGTTTCTGTTATGCATGCCATTGGCTGCTTTTCCCCAACATTCTTCAGAATATCTTCCTTTTGTCCTCAACGGAAGAAGGAATTTCATGAAGGTTTTAGAAAATGTTCAATTTTGGCTGAACTATCCCCTTAGATTGAGTCGATTGCTTTATTTTCAGAACTCTTACAGCTTTGACTGATTTTATTTTTTGTTCATTGTGTTTTATTTAGATCAGTGATGTCCAAACTCGGTCCTGGAGGGCCGGTGTCCTGCATAGTTAAGCTTCAACCACTCAACACACTTGCCTGGAAGTTTCAGTATACCTTTAATCTGGGTTGGAACTAAAACATGCAGCTCTCCAGGACTGAGTTTGGACACTTCTGGTCAAGAGTATATTTATTTAGTATAATGTGTCGAGGGGTCAGTTGCTCTCTGGCAGGGCAACGTTCATCTTTTCTTTATAAATATATATAAAAAATGAATCTGAAGTGAAGAACTTTTATTTATTATTGTGCTGTTTTGCATTGTGGGCCAAAGCAAAGTGATCTCAATATTATTGGTGCCACTGCAGTCCTTGTCGACTATTTAGTTGTATCTTCTACAATGCTGATGGATGGTGGAGGTTTTAGTGTCTTGTGAAGCAATTGTGAATGTGAAGCCTTATGTATTGGCCTTATTCTCCGCCGACGAGTGGGCGCTGCCATTTGAATCTTTTTGGCACGAGACTTCCGGTCTCATTCACTTCCATTCATTTTTAGACATTAAAAACTGCTCGTTTCGCTGTTTGATGTTGCAAACTGATATTTCCTTGTTGTATTATTCTACTTGGTCTGTATGGTCATGCAAACATTTGTTTGTAGAGCAAATAGTTTGACCGTTATTTGCCGTTTATTATTCCTAGTCATTTCTCCCATATGCGACTGAAACGGAAGTTCTAAGACAATCGCGAAAACAGGTGCACTTCCGCATTTTACAATAAGGTCAATACCTTTGATACTGGTCTGAGCAGAGGGGGTGTGTGTGTGAGTGTGTGAGTGTGTGTGTGTGTGTGTGTGTGTGTGTGTGTGTGTGTGTGTGTTCCAGTCATCTGTGGCTGTAGTTAAAAGAGATGGAGAACATCATAAGGTTCTATTATGCGAGAAATGAATCTCCAGCTTTTAAAGGGGACCTATTATGCACACACACTTTTATAAGCGGATTTAATACAGTTTTGTGGCAACAGTGTGAATGTAGTCAGCCTCTAATGTGGAAAATGTGTTTCATTTTTTATAAGGACACTTGATAAACAGTGTGCAGAAACACTCTTGATTGACATTCTCCCTTGTGAAAAAGCCCCGCCCATTAGTGACGATTTCTCCCTCAATAGCAGAAACAGCCCTGAGTGAGAAGCAGCCGTCCCCATTGGAGTTTAGTCAATGACTAAAAGGATAATAAACAGTTTTAGGACGCACAAATGATCACTGTAGACTGTCGCCCTTAGAGATAATAGTAGTCCCATTTTGAATCTGCCACTATGCTGACACACAGGCATTTGTAGCTCCACCCTCTTTTGTAAAGAGCACAGTCTCATTTGCATTTAAAGTAAGTCACCAAAATTACACAATACGGATCAAAGCCTAAAATGGGGCAGTTTTAGAGTTTTATAACATTTGTGTGGTATTTTGGGCTGAAACTTGTATAAAGAAGCATAATAGGTCCTCAATGTTGGAATATCTGGATCAATTTACCAACTCATGATCACTGATCCCAATCCGGTGGTCAATTATCAAGGATTTTTTTTACATTTCTATCGAGGGAAATGATATTCTTTCCTGCATCAATTATGGAATATTAGTTTTATAATGGGATAAGTCATTTTGTAATAATATTCAGTGTACTGAATGCATCTTTTCAGACTGTGCAATAAATGCTCCTTTATTTCCTGAACACATTTGCTTTTAAATTATTATTTACATCTTAAAATAAAAACTCATTACAGCAATTAGTCAAAATTATTAGCCCTCCTGTGACAATTTTACTTCCGCTAGAATAAAAGTTAGTGGTGTAACGGATCACACTATGGTTTGAGTCATCGAACGGACCATTTTTCGGATCAGCAAAAAAAAAAAAGACACATGTTTGCTTTTTCATTTATGCAGACATATTACAGCAAAACGCATCAGTTTAACAAACAGAACTGAGAACCTGTAATTTTATTAAAAATCAAGAACCTGGAAAAAAAAAAAAAAAAGGAAAATAGTCAATATGAAAAAAAATTTTAGCAACTGTTGCTGATAATGCTAAACAGAGAAATCCTACAGCAATTATTTTCAATTATTAATTCAACAATTCACACAAAACTTCATGTTTTATTATTGGTGGATTATTGAAAACCTATTCAGTGACATCTTTTTGTTGGTGGTTTGTCGCCACACACTGTTTACACAATATAATTGCTACAACATTAACCAAGTTCCATTAAACGCTGATTTTAATCTTTACCGTGCATTCACACAGGGCTTCAGCATCAACGCTTGACAGAGGGCGTGTCTGAAGTTCATAGCAGCGTCAGCCAATAAAACTAGTCTGCAATCAGCTACTGTCTGAGCTAGGGTATTTGCATAAAACCATCTTATTGGCTGACGCATCCGTTGGCGCTTGAAAAATTGAGAAATCCCAACTTCTGCAGTTCGGCAAAGCCTGACGTCACGTCACCCATTCAAAGTGAACAGGAAGAGTTGACGCTGACACCCTGTGTGAATAGGGCGTTACTGTTAACATCAGTGTTTATATCAGAACTATAAACGGTTCTCCAAATACTTCTGTGTTATTTGATTATTCGTAACTAAATGGAAAAAGTCTCAAAACAATCTCTCGATCAAACGCAGATTTGAATGCAGCACTTTGACGGATTAATAATCATGCAAATCACCATCATTCATGTTGCGCAGGTTTGATTTGAGATCACGATCCTTTAATGTTTAATTGTGCAGCTTTACACTGAATGCATTAATGCAGGCGAAACAATCAGTCACAGAAAACACTACCTAACGCAATAATCTAAATGAGCATTTAGGTCCCGCCACAACTTTTTCTGTCATCACTGTATTTTACAGCGAAGCCAAAATGCTTTCATATGTGATTTGAATGACGCGGGAGGCGATCTCTCTCTGCAATGGTTATAAATGTTAGATTAACCTACAAGTTCAAAAAAAGTTATTAAAGGGTCATAACACCCCCACTTTTGGTTCAGGTCTACCACAGAATAATAAAAAAATTAAAAATTAAAAAAGCATCCTAATGGACGTGGAGCTCCACGATCAGGCAGGAGTGGCCGTGGCCAGCAGAGCAGGGGAGAAGGAGGGGAGAGGACAACTGTTGTCAGTTAGCGCACAAAATGAGACACAAACCGTGAGACGACGCATTAGTTTATAGTTTACAAAGTTCAAAAGCAAAGAAATGCAGTAATTTAATGCCCTGCTACATTTGTTATTCCTTATTTCATACACAGATAACCACAATTTATATCATTATAAAGATAATCGTGTTCATATAAACACTTTAAACTAGGACTTCCTCAATCCCCGGGTCTGAATCATAGGTCTGAATGCAGACTCAGTGCAGCAGGTCTCTTGCCCTGTCTGTTTTAACTATCAGCCCTGCTGGTAATCTGGAGGATTTAGGCGAACACAGCAGCACGGCGATGTGTCTGAATGTGAACGAACTCCTGATAAAAGACAGCGTCCGCCATTCTCCAATTCTCATACTGCTCTCCCGACAAAAATGCTTGCTGGACACAAACAGCTTTGCTGTACCGGCCCTGACAGCATCTCGGAGAAGAACATGCAACAAACCCCGTGGATCATGGAACACATACGAGCCTTCATGAACAGCTAAATACTGCATGCTGTGGGTCCATGGACACGGTTTCACCCAGTGATCAAGGTAGGATCTCACAGCTTGGCACTGGCAGGTCTGCCTTGCCTTCGGAAAGCACGTGCAGTCGTGAATAATTAAGAAGCCGGCTCTTCTCATTGGATAAGAAAACTCCACTATGAATAATAATGAGAAACTGAAGCGTCATCACTCCACCAATAGTTTTGCGCTCCCGACGCTGATTTTGATCCCGCCCCAAAAATCATTTTAAACCCGGAAGATGAAATTAGCTGACAAAAGCTCAAAATTATCCAGTTTACCTAACAGTTAAAGCTAATAGCTGCTAATGTTGTCTTCAGTGATGCTCAACACACACAAATCTGTTAAAACCTCAAAAATAGTACTCGCGGGTCACATGCTTTCCGAACTGTGTTGTGATCTGTACAAAACACAGATCAACCGTGATTCGTTATACCTCTAATAATGCAGTTAAAAATATAATAATAAAATAATTTAAGGCCATAACTATAAGGCACTTTAGGCTATATTTTCTTCAATTATCTACAGAACAAACTCTTCTGTTGAGAAATGCATTAATCTCTTCGTTAAACAGAAATTGGGGGAAAAATCTACAGGGGGGCTGATAATTCTGATGCGTTTTCTAGATAAATAGACACACAGACAAATACTTTTTTCATATACCCACCCTTAAACAGATCTTAAAGGGACAGTTCAGCCAAAAATATAAATTCCATCACCTTCACTTGATCCAAACCTAAATTTTTTTCTTCTGTTGAACAAAAGGAGTGTTAAAAGACTGAAGAGCGTTAAGCCTGGTTTATACTTCTGCGTCAAGTGATCGGCGTAACCCAAGGTGCATGCAACGCGCCTGGCTGTGCATTTATACTTCTGTGCGCTGTCTCTGTCGGTCTGCATTAACACTTCTGAAACGCTAGTGGGCAGTGAGGTGTAAATGTTCCTCTGTGTCGAGTTTCTCCGCAGCCGTTTTGCTTTTCCTGAACACTTCCGGGATGTACAAGTGGCTCAAACTCGCTCATTTTGAGGCAGGAACCGGCGGACGTGCAACAACTTTAACTATGAGGTAAACACAAAACAAAACTTTCCATCCGGAGCTCCTTCACGGGACTCCACACTTGTAAACAATCTCTCCATTGGGCTACCGCTGCTCGCGCGGCTCTCGGTCCCGCCCAGACTCATCAGCGCTACCAAACAGACCAATCACAGAGCTTGCGCTACGTGTTGCTGCAACGTGTAGTTACATTTTTTGATGCCGACGGCCACGGCAAAGGGCTATGCATCAGCGCCGTAGCACACACCAGCGTTTGACGCAGAAGTATAAATCAGCCTTTAGAAAGCAACTTGAGTAAACTAATGTAAAACAACTGTAAAACAAAGCAAAACAACTAAAAAAACTAATCCAGAACTCAAATAAAGAATTAAATGAGTGACTGGTGAATGATTGGTGACAAGTTTGGTGACCAGTGGTCACCAAACTTGTTCCTGGAGGGCCGTTGTCCAGCAGATTTTAGCTCCAACCCTAACCAAATGCACCTGAACAAGCTAATCAAGCTCTTACTAGGTATACT